TACAGTAATGAATTGTATCCAACTACTATGTAAAAATGTACGGGCTACTCTCAGTTATTGAGATTCTGTAGATTATAAACACTAAACTACCTGTTCATGTAGTCAACTTATTGTATTGGGAATTTTTCAGGATATCAAAACTTTCAAGAATTTTAAAGATTTTATGAAAAGTTTAAACTTCACGTTTCGCTAATTTTAATCAAAATTAGAGTTGCTTCATAAGAAATATGACCAAGACGATGGATAATACATGCACATGTCAATTTCATCAAAAGTGGCCAGGAGTGCATTTGTACGTTACACATTAAGTTTGAACTGACTCTAAAAAATTTGGTCAATGACTGATAGGACATTTCAAGCAATAGGTACATGTAGGAGTAAGCAATATTATAATGCAATTGGCCTAATGTTGGTTACAATAACAATATACATGTACATTACCTTCTGGAGATGAGAGATTCTTTTTCACTTGTCCCCTTATTCCACTGACTGTTCTAATTAATGCCCCTTGAAATTTAGCACATTCGAGAGGAGTATTAAACATCCCTTTGATGAAGGCGGTGTTCTTGAATATCTTGTAAGGGACTCCGGTTAGCTTTAGTTTCTTAACTATACTTGTTGACTTCTCCATCTCCAATACAAGGCCAGTGGCTGCCACTCGAAAATCTGACTAAAGTGATACAAAATATACATTGTAAATAGAGTACAAAAAATTAATGCTGTTTTATTTTCATAAATTTTACAATTGCTTGATCCTTTGCAAAAATCATAATAGCAGAGTTGCATTTTTGCGATTAAAAGACAAAGTTAATTGGCAGGTGAAATTTTGAAGTGAATATTGAGCCATTCATTTGTTATCATTTATATAGCAATTGGATCACAGCCATCACTTTCAATTTGATGAGTAAACATCCAAAAGTCAACAAAAAACTTAACACACAAACACATTCGTGTACATGTACATGTACATGTAAACTCGTCAGCTTACAGTGTTGATGTTATTATTGACGGACTGTATAGCAAGGACTCCAGTATTGGGTGTGGTCACAGGACCTGGGGAATAATAAGACAATACAATGAAATGGGATTTCAATAATGAAATATTAACTCCTTGGGCATAAATCTCATGAGATTTTAAAAGAGATTTAGATTTATGCTACATAGCATAAGGACATCAATATGTTCAGAAAATGTAATAAAATTGGGGGTAATTTTGGAGCCATTTTTCGGGAGAAAAATGGGCTATAACTTTTGCTTTTAAAAGATTGGCTCATTTTTAAAATGCTCATAACTCAAAAAATATTTATCGGAATTAGCTCAAACTTTCTACATAGCATAAGTACATCAATATGTATCAGAAAATGTAATAAAAATTGGGGGTGATTTCGGAGCCATTTTTTTGAAAAAACCATGGGCTATATATAGCCTTGGGTAATTTTCAAAAATTGGCCGTTTTAAAAAATGCTCATAACTCGAAAAATATTTGTCAGAATCAGCTCAAACTTTCTACATAGCATAAGTACATTAATATGTATCGGAAAATGTAATAAAAATGGG